AGTCGAGAAAAATCGTGCGGCAAAACCGTGCCAGGGTTGCAATTTAGGCTCCGCCCCCTCATGACCGTGTCCAAATGTGCAGAAAAACCGTGCGGCAAAACCGTATCAGGGTTGCATTTTAGGCTCCGCCCCCGACTCCGCCCACTTTCCCCGGTATTTTTTTCCCCGATTTTTTCTTTCCCCGGAATTTGCGGGGTCTCCATTTTTTCCCCGCAAATTTTTATTTTTTCCTTAAAAAAAATGTTTTTGTTGTTTTTGTTTCCAATAAAACTGATTCGTATATATTTTTTTAATTTTCTCAAGAAAAAAGTCACTAATTTAAGGAAAAATGCAAGCGCGTCCCATGGCTAACAGCGTTCCAATTAGGGACAGTTCGACTCCGACACAGTTCGATTCTGCTCTTGTTCTGTTTTGACACATGTTCGATTTTAGGTCTGTTCGATTTTGGAAGCGTTCGAATTCGTCGTACCCCCTCGGTCGGCTGAATTTGCCGACCGAATGGAAGCCTTAGGCTGGATGGGCTTATGTTCGATCAAATACGGTATACCTTTTCAAGAATGTTTTTTTCTGCTGTGATTCTCTCGAAATCACTTCGTTCAACAATTATATTCTAAAAGTCATCCATCCCCGTTCCTTGCTTTTTCTAATAGTAGTTGACAGGTCATAAAACAGCGGATGTAGAGACGCCGAGAAAAAAGGGGAACACCTACGTAGGCACTCTGTGTGGTTTCCGAAACTATGGTGTTATTACGAAACCTTGAATTTCTAGAAAAATATATGTCACCCCATTATTCGTTTCCCTTGTGACTGTTACCTCATATATTTGGTTTTTATCTCAATTTTTCCACAAATCTACTTTAATAGTTCGTCCGGTGTCATTTTTTTGTCTGATGTTCTCCAAGAAACCAAGAACAATTGGCACACACAAAAAACACCTACGAAGAAAATCGATAAAACTTTTATCGCGAGACAGCTGTCGCCCCCACTTCACATAACCTTTTCACTATTTACAGTTCGAGTTAGAGATGAGTTTCGCAACGATTAGATCATTTGGTCGTGAGAAAACTAGTTGGGGGGGGGGGGGGGGGGGTTCAACTTTTGATGTCTTAATCCTCTATGATCCACGAACGCTTATTTTTTGTCTCTTCTGCTTTTCCCTCGTCTCATCAACCACGGATTTTCTCTTCTCTCTTTTTGTTTCTGTGACCGAAACTTGCACTGATTCTTTCGTTAGCTATATGCATTTAGTTGCAGGTCCATAAACTACTGGTAAAACCTCATGATTTCGATAGATATCTCGTTGTATAATGGAAAGAATTTCGAAAGGGTTTCCTCTTATGAGATGTGACAAATTAAAAAAAAATTTGAAGCTCATAAAAGCACAAGCGATTTTTCACCGGTTTTCGTCTACCAAATGTTCAGTTTCAGGGACTGATTTAGTTGCATTCACCAGTTTTTTGCAAGGCTTTGTCGATCATAGAACATTAACTATGATATATTGAACTGAATAATTCAATTCAGAAATCTCAATGATCTTTGAAGTTTGAAAAATCTAATAATTGATAAAACTCAATCAGTCTATCCTTCTGATTTCCTTCGATTGCTGAGCAATTATTGCTCATACAACAACGCAATTTTTCGGATAATTCTTACTGATACACCTACAGTGATTTAAGATTGACATCCATTGAAATTGACAAGTTAATGAGTCACATTTTTTCAAATCAGCAAATTCCTAACGGCATTATACCAAAGCTTTTGTATTACTATGAACCGGTTGTGATCTCCCTTTTGACGTCGTCTTGTATCCTTACGTTGTCTCCTATTCTTTGTCGTCTCCTCACGAGACCAAGTGTTATTTGGCGTATGTGTTTTCGTTTGCCTCTTATTCGGATTTCCTATTGAAATTCAATTGAAAGGACCAAAAATTTGCACTACTAAATAATGAACTACAGCCAAAAAAGTTTTTTTTTAACTTCCTGCCCTCCTCATGAAGTATGAAATATAACACCTAATCGCCATTCTACATCTCCTGTGTGGTTTTTCCATTCCCTTACTAATACTTCTCTAATATTTCATAACAGAATTTATTGAAAGTGAGGTCTTGAACTACAGAAAAAATAGTTGACTAACCTAGTTTGAAGATCAGTAGAACATAGACTAGACCAGATTGAAATCGTTTTCAATCCAGAATGAGAATCAGTGAAGCATGAACGATATGCATTCTGTGTTAGATTGTTTTCATCGATTATTCTTTTTTTCTCAAAATAGAGGAACAACTCTCAATGTCCAAACAATATTTCAAGGTTGATCAATCTACTGGATCATAAGAAGTTTGTGAATACTTGAAGATGTTATTCAACCTGTTGAGATGAAGTGACTTCTCTAGTGTTATTTTGGAACGAAGGAACAAACTTGTATTCGTTCTATTTTCTTTCTCATGAACCAAAGTTTCCATCAATGTTTGGTTGGCATCTTCCTTTTTATCCTCAATGCCAACTCCCCTACAGTAACCCATGTATTGAATGTTACGGCATTCAATAGGAATAGGATGATACCAACCTTTCCTTTCAAAAAAGAGCATAAAAACTAAGAATATTCAAATTCTGCAGTTCTCTCCCCCACCCACACATGCGTTTTGTTTTTTTTTTCTGTTCTCTCTCCCTCAACGAGTGTTATCATATTATCATTCGTCCAGTGGGAAAAGACAGTGTGTTTTATCACAATGCGAACCACATTACCATCATTCTCTCATTCTAGTTGCCTCTCTCCCACAAAATCAATCAATATATTTCAATCATGTCTATTCCTCCCCATTTTTACAGGAATGAGAAGTCATCAGCAACGTATCTGTTCCATCATCACAACCACCGCAAATTCTGTGTTTATATCCCCGATTGTTTCTTTTTAGAAATTATAAAAAAACATAGTCTTCTTCTTTTTCAATGTTACTGTCTTTCCCAGTTCTTCTTAATTGCTCATTGTCTTCTTTTCTTGCTCAACTCTCTGCCCCGTACTGTTCATATTTTATTTTCGTTGTTCTTTCATTACGTGTTTCTAAGTTTAGGTTCTTCCCCGTTTTTCCCAGTTTAGGTATTTGTTAGTTGAAAACGATGAATAAGTTATTTTCTCAATACAATTTTTCTTTTTTTTTTGTTTCGCTGTTCGGTTTCGTTCAACCGTTTGATATCGTTATCAGAACTTTACTCCCGTTATTGCTAATTCCTTTTATTATTTCAGCTTTCAAACTCTCGAAATGACAGATAATCACGAGAAAGCTAAGCAACCGTATCCAGATAGCGTAAGTTTCCGTAAAACCTCTGATATTCGTTTTAACCCAAATAATTTCAGCCACCAACGGGTGAATCGAGTAGTTCGGTGGCACCATCTGCTCCATCAGCTCCAGAGCAATCGTCTCCAACTCGTCCACCCCCACCAGCCGGATTTGTTTATCCTAGTACGGATATTCACAACTCGGCAGCCGTTCATGTTAGCTCTCCAACTACACCATCCCCATCGTCCGCTGGCCCACCACCAGCTCACGCGTCTGCCGGACCGGCCCCTGCTATATCTTCATATGACATGCCACCACCATCTTATCAGGCTGCAATGTCTTATCCAGCAGCTCCAACTTATGGTGGATCGACAGATCCAAAGTACTACAGTGGACAACCACCAGTCTACTATCAACCACCACCGATCAGTAAGTGAAAACAATGTTAATAAAATAAATAATATTTGTTTTCAGCTCAATCTCGACTCCCACAACCCGATGGAGTCGATCAGGTTGTAAGAGCCGTTCGCATACAGAATCCTACCGGAAGCAATGTTATAGTTCATGTTCAACCAGGAGCACCGTGCCGTCGTTGTGTGAGTTTCGACCTTTCTAGTTTTTGCAAAATCAGAATAATATTTTCAGACTGTCGGAGTAGTCACACGCCAAACTGATATGTGCTGCCTTCTGTGTCTCATAATGCTGACAATCTTCACATTCCCATTCGGACTAATTTTCCTTTGTTGTATTCCATGTACTGTTCAAAACCGTTGCACCCATTGCAACCGTCTTGCTTAAATTCTGTTCCATTTTTTCTTGCTTTTCCTATTTTCCATGTGTTCTTGTAAAGTTCTAGCTTTATCCGTGTCTCCAAATGTTCGCTTATCCACACATCTAACTCTCCTTTGTTACACTCACAGTGATCAAAAAAAAAACTATCCCACAAAACTGGTCACCAGTGTGTTACTGTATTATTCCAAGTATTCTCCCCCTCGTTATGGAAAAAGTCTGTTTAGCAACCGAATTCACCGCCCCTCCGAGCCTTCTACAGAATATGCGTGTTTTTGTATTCCGAATAAAAGAACATGATGTTGAATGATCATTTTATTTTGATTGAAAAGACATAAGCAGTAAATCAAAGATGAAATTGAGGTGACCAAGACAGCCTGAGCATAAGAACCATTAGTCGTATTGGCGTTTGGTGCTCCAGAAGATCGGTTGAAGATGATGTCCTTGCTGAGTGGATGAATCCGCAGACTGAGGTGATACAGTACTCTTTATTGCTCTCTTCTTGACTATCGATTACCGTATTGCCTATAATAAAAGCCCAATCAAACCGCCAGCTAATTTGAGCTCAATTCCTGAAAAAGGTATCAAGAAGTAGTCAACTAATAGAACATTGGTAGTGTTATGATAAATAATTAATCAGTGGACAGATTTTTAATATCGTTTACAGGAATCGATATAATTGAGCTCAAAGTTTACAAAATAACCATTACTCATTCTCGCATGTCAGTCGTTTAATTAAACATTATTCAGTTCATATTGACTTAAATGTAGTCAAGTTACAAAAAAATTATACCAAAAAAATGTGCAAAAAATGGCAAAAACGGAATATGTTGAAAAGTGGTGCGTAAGAAATGAAAAATGCTCACAAAACTTAAAGAAATAGTCACAAAATTTATACAATCGGCAAACCTCAATTTAAGCATAATTTTCCTTATGGGATTTAAATAGGAGCTGGTTGCTTATTTGGGTTACAAACAGTAAATTATTTAAATTTAAGCATTAATCAGTAAACAGAATAAGAGAAACAAGAGGCAAAAATAGATCAGACAAAGTCTCATTCACTGACGCAGAAGTTCCATCAGCAGCATCGGGAGGAGCCAACGGTGGAAAATCTGCGCAGCTTTTTGAATAAAAATATGAAGAGAAGAAAAAGAAAGGAAAGAAGAAAGGAAGTAAAAAGGAAAACCATGGTAATCACTACAGTTTGTTGATTTCCATTAGTACTTTTTCATTGCTAGAAAGCTCTGTGCAATCGCTATTTATTGTTATTTCATTTTCAAAAAAAATTGATTTTTGTCAATTGTGAAAGGGGAAAACGTTCAGGGAAAATACATTTCCACCTAGCCATGAACCCCAAACATGGCGACCCTGAGGGCCTTTTAGTACTTTGTTCACTGCTTCCAGTAAGCATTGACAACAAATCAGAAGACAAAAAATGAGACAACAATAAGCAGTGTGCGCAAGAGCTTCTTAGTACTGAGAAAGTCCTATTGGGGAGCATCCAACACCGCCCAACATCCATCTTCGTTTTGACTGGATTGGTTGCCCATCATCTGATCCGCCGGTGATCATTTTTGAACTTCGAAGTCAAAAAGGAGACCATCCCAGCTGCCCTGGAACCTCGTTAGAACTCTTCTCTTCTCCTTAGACTTTTCGTCGATTTCTTCAGCTTATATACCCCTCGTAGATCAGATCAGAAGATAAGATAAGAAAAGAGCCCAGGAAAATAAACAACACGCGGCAATTCTGAATAATTATTTTTCATTTACGTGGATAACTGTAGAAATAAAAATTTCTATTTCCTTTTTTTAAAAACTCCCCCGAAAAGTACTGATGATAATTGAATCGGGATCAGAGATTTTATCCAAAACTCTTCAATTGCATTGTTTATTGTTTATTGGCATTATTGTTCTGATTTGTGTGAGATCTCGGTTTTTTGACCTCAAAAATGACACTTGTTTTCAGTCGAAATCACCGGGCCCAGCGAAATCTCCACAAAAAAATGTTGGAAAGGCGAAAAATCGTAAGACGTTCAAAGAGAAAGGGAAATCGACGAAATTGAGAAGGAAAAAGAAAAAGAAAGACGACGAGGGTCCGAAAGTTCAAAAATCCCGGACTTCAGAAGAAGTGAAATTCAACCTGAATATCAAAGAACCAGAGGTTCGACCGGATGAATTTGATGACGACGAAGAGAATCCGTCGGCAAAAATCCTCATCAAGTCTCGAGAGAAAAATGAGAAGGCAAGTTTAATTTCAGCACAAAACTATGAAAAAAATGCAATTTCAGGGATCTCCAGTGGTCAGGGACAAGAGTAAAATAGGAAAAGAAGGAACCAAATCAACATCGAAAACAACGTCTACAGCTTCTCCGGGTCCTGGATTCTCACCGATTCCATCTCAAGAAAACGAAGCTCCATTGTTTGCTGCCAACGAGAAACAGATTGGATCTTCACTATATGTCAGATTGGATTGAGAACTAATTTATCAATAAAGTGTTTCAAAAAAGATACAATATCCATGACAGATTTTCACAACTTAAAATACCGTTTTTCTCTATCAGAAGTTCACACCCAATTGTTAACTTTGAAATCAATTATCTCTATTCCTGTGGAAGATATCAAAAACTTGTTAACTGATAAACTAATTGTCATAAAATCACCAATATTTTATTAGTTGAGACATTTTTGAGAACATTCACAGGAATTGAGATAATTGAGCTCAAAGTCGAGGCTTCTATTAAAGGAAATACGGTATTAGGATTTTTTTACATTTGGAAATCTCTAAATTTCCTGAAGTTTCGAAATTCTTCAGAATTCTTGCGTGTTGACTACTTTCGTGAACTTTTTTCTTATCTTATCTCCAGATCTGACCTACGAAGGGTATATAAGCTGGATAAAACAACCAAAAATCGGAGTCGATTAGGAGTCCGATTTGTAACGTGGTTCCAGGGCACCTGGGATGACAAGGGATCCGATCAACTCACGAAGACTACTGGCCTCTCTACTCGACGATTACCAATATCGGCTAGGATGACCAAGTTGGATGACGGATACTGGAAGGAATTGGATTCTGCCCACTGCCAGGAAGCTTCGGATGCGCTAATCATTGCTATTTCTTTTTTTAGAAGACTGATCGACGTCATTGAAGTAAAAAAAAGTACTAAAAGGCCTCAGGTCGCCATTGTTTGGGGTTCATGGCTAGGTGTTTATCACTGAACGTCCCCCTTTTACCAAATGACCGAAATCAAATTTTAAAAGAAATGAAATAGCAATTGATAGCGTACACGTAGCATTCTGGCAGGATCTCGGAATTACGACTTCAAACTTCGGATTCCAGACTTCAAAACTTTCACTTCCTGACATCTTTTCACATTTCTTTCATTCTTTTTCTCGCTTCAATTTTTTTTATCAATCTGTATTGAATTTTTGATTTTTTGGAACTTTTAAAATTTTCGTTTCTTTCTTTGGATTTTTGAACTACATGAAATAATATTCTTCTGTATTTTTCAACTAATAGGTTTTTTGAGCTACGGTAATCCTTCACATTTTTAAACTACAGTCTATGAATCCCCTACATTTTAGAGTAGAGGTCAATGAGCAACCGACCCCCCTTGAAATCTTTGATTAAAGACAGGATAGAAGCACCGTAGGCTCACCCAAACCATCAACGTCGACCTTAATTATCTCGATTCCTTGACATATATCAAAAATTTGTCAACTGTTAAACTATTTGTCATAAAATCACCAAAGTCGACAATTCTTGTGGAAAGATTGTCCTAGACTTGTGGGAAGTTTGGCCAAATCTTGTATTTGTTGTTTATGTTGTTATCGTAACGACAACATCAGAATACAAGACTTGGCCAATCCTTCCACAAGTCTTGCACAAGTCTTTCACAAGTCTTAACGAATACATAGAATAATGTGCTCAGAGACTTGTGGAAGTATTGACAACCGATGTATACGACCTTTTTAAAGTTTGTCTGAAATTTCCCAAAGTTTCGTAATTCCCGGAATTCTGATTTTTATTTCCCGATCTCCAATATTTCAGATTTTCATTTGTAAAAGTTCAATCAAAGTAAAAATTCGGAATTTAATGTTTTCTGATTTTCGATTATTTTCAAGATCAAACAATATGCGACGAGTTGTTATCTGAGAAGAATGAACTTCTGGAATAAATCCCTCTAGATTATCATAGTTCTCGCATCCTATGATTTCGAAAATCAAACCAACCAAACTATCCATGTTAACCCCTTTTATCAGAGAAAATGGCAAAATGGTTTATAGCCATCAATCAGTTTCTCTCCTCTCACTCTTCTTCTACCCGTTTTCCGTTATTTCACCGTTTCTCCTTATTCGATTTAATTTCTCCCGAACTTTACCCAGTTCCTTCTTCTCTACGCGGCGCATCGCCAAAAATGTCACGATGATGTTGCAAAAACTGGGTAACAAACACGTCTTCAGGGGCTACTATACCTGCCTCTATTTTCTTCGGAAAGAAAAACTGAAAACTTGGAACACTTCAGGTTTCATCCTCTATTGTTGATGTGACAACATACTTCTGATAATCTTGATTGATATGATAATTGATGACAACGATTTTTCTATCGAAAGCGTTTATTTACACTGTTTAAGCATGCACATACCCTGTACGAACAGGCGGAAAACAACGAATTTAGGAAAGACGAGAGGGAGGAGAAAAATAATAAATTAGGGAGGTTAAGAGAGATGTCTGAGATGGTTCGTCGATTGACAAGTAGAGGGAGAAGAATGGAGTTATTGTTGTCATTGATACTCGTACCCTGAAAATGAGATATGAGGATTTTAAGTTGATTTGATGGTAACTTACCAAAATAAGAAGCAAACTTTTGGAAAAGCAACGCTTAATATCCTGGAGCAGTTCTTGGTGGTGGGCAGTGATCGCAAGATCCCTTGGCTCCGTCCTTTCCTGGCTCTCCAGCCTCTCCTGGGGCTCCTGGGTTTCCTGGGGCTCCGTCTTGTCCTGGCTCTCCTTGTGGTCCTGGTGGTCCTTGTGGTCCGGCGCTTCCTGGGTGTCCGTCTGGTCCTGGTGGTCCTTGAGCTCCTGGCTCTCCTGGCTGTCCTGGGTTTCCTGGTGGGGCTGGAACAGTGCGGACTTGTCCTGGGGCTCCTGGTTGTCCTGGAGTTCCGTCTTGTCCGGCAGATCCTGGTGGTCCTTGTGGTCCTGGAGCTCCTGGGGATCCTGGGCGTCCATTTGGTCCTTGCTCTCCTGGAGCTCCTGGTTGTCCTGGTGGTCCCTTTGGTCCTGGGTTTCCTGGGTTTCCGGCTGGC